AATTTTTTAAAAGTTCCTTGTGGTACTGAGTATTCTTTAGCATTCATGTTTGGAAAATTCCATTTGTTTTTTAGTTCCAGTTTCTTCTGTAATTTTTTCAATTCTGTATTTCCTTTTAATCTTTCTGTTAGATTTGACCAAACCAGAGCGTTTCAATAAATTTTCCTACCACTACTGCATTGCTCTCAATGTTTTCTTGTAATTGAGTTGTTTCATTTATGTATTGGATATAATGACATCTAGAGCACATAAGTTTAATATTAATATGGGTTTATCTATAGTTTCTTTCAGCATGTCATTTCCTTATTTATCTCTGTATTGTGAATTTTACTTGTTATTTCAACTACATCTTTCTTGGATTCACCTGCTGCATAATACATTTTGGTACAGCCTTTCCTTTTTAGTCTGTGTTTGTCTTTGCTTCTTATATGAATTGAACAACTGGTAAGCAATTGAGTGTGCAGTGCTCGTGGCTGGAGCTGAGCGAATATAATAAAAATAGCAAGGCTACAAAAGTTAATTTACAGCTTTAATGCTATATCAAACTATCAAAGTAATACTACACAGACCTCATAAAAAGAACAAAATTCATTTGGGAAAAAAAAGATCTAGAATATCTTGAGAAATAATGAAAAAAGGGAAAGGATAAAGGGAGAAATAACACTTCTAGACTTCAAACTATAAAGCAGCAGCCATTAATACCACTTGGTATTAATTAAAAAATAGAGAAATATATCAGTAGAATAGAATGGACAAGGGAGAATTAGAAACAACAGAACTCAATAATTCACTAATAATAATTCAATAATAAACTTGAAAACAAATTATTTAGGAAAGAACTGTCTGATAAAAAATTCCAGGAAAAGAGAAAGCAGTCAGTCAGAAATTAGGCTTAAACCAACAACTTACACCATATTCCACAATAAATTCAAAAAGCATACCTGACCTGAATATTAAAGAGCACAGCATAAGAAAATTAGAATAGAAGCAGATCACATGCCTTTCGTGGTATAGGTAGATGAATTTTTAACAAAAAAAAAAAAAAGGTAAATATAAAAGATAAAATAAATAATTTTGATTACATGAAATTGAAAAACTTCTGTGCAAAATTAATGCATCTAGGATAAGAAGTGGCTAAAAAGGGAAATTTTTTTTGGCATCAGATTTCTCAGATAAGGGTTTAGTATCTAAGATATGGAAGCAGCTAGGTTGTTCAGTGAATAAAGTGCTAGGCCTGGAGTCAGAAAGAACCAAGTTTAAACCCAGCCTCAAATATTGACTAGCTGTGTGACCCTGGGCAAGTAACTTAACCTCTGTTTCCCTTAACCCACTGGAGAAGGAAATGGCAAACCACTCCAGTATCTTTGCCAAGAAAACTCCATGAAGAGCACTGGCATGATACGTTTCACTGGGTCATGAAGAGTCAGACACAACTGAACAATAATCTAAGATATGAAGACAATTAACAGATATAAGACCAAGTGGTCAAAGGACAGAACAAATAGTTCTCAAAAGAAGAACTTAAAACTATTAACAACATGTATGAAAAAATGCTTTAAATCATATAAATGTATATCAAAACAACTTGAGATTTCATCTCAGTCCCAACAAAAGATGGAACAGTCAGTGTTGGAGGGATTATGGGATAACAGGCACACTTACATCGGACATCAACACAACCACTGTGGAGAACAATTTGAAATTATGAAAATGAAGTCATTAAAATGTCTGTATCCTTTGACCCAGAGATTTCACTTGCTAGGACATACCCCAAGGAGGTCACTGATAAGAAGAAAGTGTCCATTATACATCAAAATATTTATAACAATACATTTTGTGGTAATAATGAACTGGAAACAAAGTAGATGCTCTTCAATTAGAGAATGGCTAAAAAAATTGTGATACATGAACGTAATGGAATATTACTGAGATGTAAGAAACAATGAACACAGAGAAGCATGGAAAGATAATGAAGCAGAGTGAAGAATGCAGTCTAGAAAACAACAACAATATATACAACTACAACAATGTAAATGGAAAGAAAAACTGCAAGTGAATTTTGTAAAATTACAACTATAGTCCCAAAGAAGAGACATATAAGAAGAAACTGCCCCCGCAACTCCAAAGGAGTCATGGGAATTTATAGGTGTAGAAAACAGCATATATTTTCTTATTTTTTCAATGCATTTATTGGTTTTGCTAATTGTTTTTTCTCTTCCTCTTTCTCTTTAAAAAATATTCTTTGTCATATGGCTCTCTGAGAGGGACAAAATAACTTTTGGTATAGGAGGATATTTAGCCAATGTTAAAACAGAAGATATCAATAATAATAAAACCAAAAAGAGGTATCTATCTGTCTGTCTTTAATATCCGTCCTTCTCCCCCCTGCAGAATTATATTTACTTTTGTTATCTAGGTTAATCTTGGTTATAAAGTCTTTATCTTTTGACTTTTGGAATACTATATTTCAAGTCCTCCTCTCCTTAGTCACATAGCCTCTAAGTTTTGCGTAATTCTGACTATGGCTTGTTGGTACTTAAAACTCCTTTTTTGGGGCTATAAGTAGTATTTTTTTTCTTTCACCTAGAAGCTTCAGATTTTGGCTATGATACTCCTAGGAGTTTTCATTTTTGGTTTCTTTTATGAAGTGCTGGCATATTTTTCTAATTTCACCTCACCCTCTGGTTCTAAGACATTTGAACAATATTCATTTATGATTTGTTGAAATATGGAATCCAAGCTTTCGGAAGGCATTATTTTCAGGTACTCTAATAACTCTTCCTTGGACCTGTTTACCAGGTCAGTTGTTTTTAATGATCTATATCTTATGTTTTGTTTTTTCAATCTTTTTGTTTCATTTTCCCCAAGTACTCTTGAAGTCCTTTCTTTGTGACTTCTTTTTTGCTAAGGCTCTAATTGTACTTTTTTGTAGAGTTATTCTCTTTTTCTAGGTTTACCCCTCAGGATTCTCTCAGTCCAAGGTTATTTCTTCATTATTCTTCAGTTCTAATCTCTTATCTTGGTTCAGGCCTAGGCTTCCTGGATGCTGTACTGGATGTACTTGGCTCCTTCTGCTGCAGCTGGGACTTTCTGAAGGGCTCTGCACTGGATGTTGGTGTGGTTCTGTCTTCTGTGATAGCTGGAACTCTTAGTTAACCCATGTTGGGCACTGTTCTCATCTTGTCTTCTGCAGTGAGACTGGGCTGCTTCACACTGTCTTCTACCTGCGCTAGCATGTCTCCTAGTCAGGGTTTCCAAAGGATTCAAGCACTGTTTATTTTTTTTATATGAGGCAACTGGGGTTAAGTGACTTGCCCAGAGTCACACAGCTAGTGAGTGTTATGTGCATGAGGCCAGGTTTGAACTCAGGTCCTCTTGACTCCAGGGTCGGTGCTCTATCCACTGTGCCACCCAGCTGCTCCTCCAGCACTCTTTCTGTGCTGTCCCGGATTGGATACAGTAATTTATGGCAGTCCCTCTTCAGTTTTCTTGATCACTGTTCCTTCTAAAGCATTTTTAGAGCCTTAATGGGGGTATTTATGGGGTGAGAAAATCAAATTGATCCCATTTGGTAAATGCATTTATTCTGTAATTGATTTCATTTTGTATAACCAATGACATTTTGTGCATCTACCTAAATCATGTTTCATTTGTCACTAAGTTAAGTTTGGAAGCTGAGCTTTCCTATAAGGCACTTAACGTCTCTTAAGTTTAGAAATTCAGTTAAAGAACCCTTTTAAACTGAATATGCTCCAAACTTTGTGCCTCAGTTTATCTTAATTTCAATTGCAATGGGGGGAATCCTAGGTCTCTAGGTTTTAACATAGTTATTTTTCCACAATGCTCCCTAATAAACTTTCAACATTCCTTCATTTAGGATAAAATATCAACTCCTTTATTTGGTAGTTAAAAGCCTTTAGAATCTGGAACCAGCCTACCTTTCCAGCATTATTATGTATTAGTCACTTTACAGCATGCTACTGTTCAGCCAAACTTGTCCTCCTGCCCCTCTTTACACTTGACACTTTGTCTACTCTATCTGTGTCTTTGCACTGGTTGTCTCCCATGCCTAGAAGGTACACCCCCCCTCTCCTTGCTTTTGAGAATCCATAATTTCTTTCCAACATCAGATCAGGTACCACCTTTCCTTCCTGATCTCCTTCCTCTTGGCTATTAGTACCTTCCTCAACAAAAGTTATCATCTTCTATTTATTTTGTACATGTGCACATGCTGTCTCCCTCACAGAACACAAACTTACATACACTCATAAACATATATACATACATACATATTAATAATTTTTTCCCAATTACATGTAAAGACAATTCTTTACATTCATTTTTAAAATTTTGAGTTCCAAATTTTCTCCCTCCCTCTTACTTCCCTCCTCCCTGAGATGGCAAGCAATTTGATATAGGTTTTGCAAGAACATAAACTTTTTAAGGGCAGGTACTATTTTATTAGTGTCTTTGTATCCCAACTGACCAGCACATAGTTAGTACCTAATAAATGCTAGCTGATTCATAATCCAAGTATATTAAATACAGATATGACTCCATTAATTCAAGAGAAAAATAGTAAAAAATAGTAAACAGGTTACCTTAGATGCAAAGTCATAATAACTATTAAGCTGCTAGTAGGCAGAGCTGGGCACTCAAGATCATAACACTAAAAGGTTTAAGGCAAAAGCTTAAACAATACTTTTACCATCAGACTGTGAGCTCTTTGAAAGCAAGGGCTGTTTTTTGCCTTTATTTGTATCCGTAGCACTCAGCAGATTACCTGGCACACAGCAGGCCCTTAAAAAATGCTATCTAACTGACAAGATGAGTTATCCTAAGCAAAAAAAAAAAATTTAATATTTCTCTCTAATCTTTTGAAAAATTATAATTATTCTTAAATATTATTTTATTATTTTTAAGGAAAGTTTAATAATGCTAAACATTAAATTTCTCCAAAAATGAAAGGAAAACTCCCCAAATGAGAAACAATCATTTACCTGGATGACTATCTGGCCACTTGGCAAATCCACCTACAAGTCGATCTTGAGTTGATAAGATATAATTTCTGTTTTTCTCAAAGTTTGTATATTGGAATATTTTCAGCAACTGAAATGAGATCACAGAAAGGACATTTACTGATAGACAATAGCTTAAGAAACTATTTTGATGCAAAATTCAATTTCTTACTATTTAAACAAGTTTGCTCCAGTTTTGTGGTTCTGAAAAATTATGAGGGGGCCAAGAGAACTGAAAAAACTTTCAAGAAATCAGCACCACTCCTATTAACTAAGCATCTCCCTTATTCACCATGTTCACCCTCACATCTTACCTTTCCATCAATTTAACTCTTATTAACATTTAGACTTGAAATAAAACTTCAAAACTCTCTTTTCATCAAACCAAATAAGTTTTTTTATAGCATGTTTACCTACCCAAAATTTGTCACTTATGACTTTAAGTTATAGCTATACCACAAACTCATAGTAGACTTTTAAAATCAAAACTGATACTGTGCGTAACAGAGAAACTTGACCCTAGGGGGAGAAGTATCAATAAAAACTGGTTTTTGAGATGAGTATAGTTTAGGTAAGTATAAAATGACATATTTAAGAAAGAAATAATCCAAATTTTAGTGAGACTTATGCACAAAATCCTTGCAATTAGGAGATATCCCTCAAAGCTTGACAGACTATCTTAGAAGAAATATAGGAAAATAATACTTTGTAATAATATTATGGAAAATGTCATCCAAGAGACTATGCAAGCTAATAATAACATAAATATTAATAAGTTCAAGAAAATTCTGGGTAAACTAATTCATGAATAAATCAATAATACATCATTAAGGCAAGATAAGGTACACCTTTAAAGACTGATAGCACAAGGAGGCAAAGAGGCTTTCTTATATAGCCTCCATTGGTGCAACTGTCAAAGACAAAATACTTGACTGATTATCACAGTTTGATGGAATAATTTATTTCTTATTTCTGATGGTTAATTACTTTAATTCCTTTTTTGCTTAGTTTGGACGGAGAATCACTACCATAATACTAGAAGCTCAGTATCCTTACTTTACAGTAATACTGAGAAAAAGCATGTGCTACAAAACCCAAACAATTTATCACATAGGTTATTGTTACATGTTTTATATATCTTTCCACATTAAAATTTTCATTTTATTAATTTTTATTCCTGTCTTACCTTTAAAGTTGCTCCCACCCAAAAAGAATAGCAGGTGTCTACAGGCTTATTGGGTCGTCCATGATAACCAGTTTGTTGCCTCATTATGCACCATCTCTTTATCCTGTTTAATTCTTTTTCAGAAAAAACTTCTTCTAATTTATCCATCAGACATAATGATGCAATGCCACAAAAAGTTGATCCTCCTGTTAATCATAGGCAGTCAACACTTTAAGTTTCAAATTAATTAACTATTAAATGTTTATAAAATGACTAGAGACCAAGCAATTCTAGAGGACAAAAAAAAAGACCAAATAAAATCAAATCATGAAACCATTACACTATGTACAGAAATCTGCAATATTAATTTGATTATATAGATCACAGAATTTTAGAGTTGAAAGGGAACTCAAGAGAGAGTTAAGAAAACTGAGGCACAGAGATTAACTGAATTTGTCCAAGGTCATAAATCTAGTTAGTGGCAGTCAAGACAAAGACTGAGGTGCTCCAACTTCCTAACACAATGTGCTCGCCTTTGTCTAACTTTAATTTCCTTAACTGAAGATATATTATTTATATTGCAATGTGGGGGGTTGCTGACTGGACAATTTGTCCGCTATTACAGCCCAATCAAATCAGAAACTGATTTGTCAAATCTTATTGGTAAATCAATCTAGTTTGTTGTGAAAGAAGCCTTCTAAATCCTCTGATGGCAGAACATTGAAAGAAATAAAACTGAAACCACAATTTGAAGAAGTGTATCTTATAAATAAAAGTAAACGACTTTTCCTTAATAAAAACAGTAACAGCTAACACATTTATATCACATTAAGGTTTACATTATCTCATCTATTCCTTACAACTGTCTTAGGAAATGGAAAACCAAACAAGATCTATAAGGAAAGAAAAAATCATTTTCCTAGACTTTCACTCAGAATTTGCTGATAACCATGTAAAACTTTTAAAGTTGTTATAACTTCACATAGAATTGATATTGAGATATATCTTACTCTCTTAAAGATTAATAATTTTTCCAAAATTATAACTGAATTATACACCCTTCTCTTGGATATGCTCTCTTGCCTTGGCTTTTATAACATTCCTCTCTCATGGCTCTCCTACTAGCTCACAATGTATTCCTACTCTGTTTCCTTTGCTGGTGCAAAAAAAAAAAATTTGTGTGTGTGGGGGGGGGGAGTACTAATACATAAATAAGAATAAGAATGAATAAGACCATGAATAATAACAGCCTCAGAGGCTCGAGAAGAAGGAAAGGAGGTAGCAGTAAAGGACTGCAGAGCCTTAGGGACAACAAACTGGAGCAGAGTCACTAGAAGTATGGTGCTAATTAAAATTAATATAATACAGAAGGAAACAGGTATCCAGTTGAAGGAAAAAAAGGTAAACCAGAGACTGAGGTGTTTAAAAATGGCTTCCTGGAGTACTACTCCCATTAGCGGATCCTCCTCCAATTTCTTCATAACCAGCCTGCACCTATCTCACACCCAAGGCCTGAAGTGAGTTGCAGAAAAGAAAGTAGAATTGATCAAGATGAAGAATAGGCCCAATTACCACTAGCACTATGAAGTGAACAGAGCTGTCCAAAACTGAGGATCAGAGAACTGGCAGCAAGGGCTAGGGGGGTAGGCTTTTTAAAAGAACTGGGCTTACAGAAGGGAAAGAGTCAGCAGTAGGCATGTTTATAAAAATAATGTCATAGAAAAATGAGCAGAGTGATTAAAAGAGGGAAAAGCTGAGAATAAATGAAAAAGCATTCAAAACCAAAGAAACTGAGTTAAAAGCCCATAAGGAAAGTAATATAACAAGTTTTGCAAAGCTCATGGAAATGACAAGGGAACATCTCCAATAACCTCCAGAATTGTTCAGAAAATCAACTGAAGAATAAATGAGGACAGGAATTAAGATTCTTGAGGAATGAATCAAAGTCAAACTAAAGATCAGTGAATCAGAGACTTTCTCCATAAAAGTAACCTCAGAAAAAGAAAAACAACAGAATTAAAATACAAAAATGTGGAGAAAAAAGGAAAAATTATGTAGCAAATTAAAAAAGAACAAGATTGGAACAAATCATGACAACATTGTGAACACTAAGAATAACAAATGTGAAATTAGAATCTTAAAGAAACAATCTAAAAATTATAGACTTTTCAAAAAACATGATGAAAAACTACCATATTCCAAGAAATCATGCAGAAAAATAAGTCAAACTATGATTCTACCCTTTGGGGATCATTTTGGATCCTGAATCTGTCATCTGATGTTTTATTTACCCCTCCCAGCTTCATATTATCTGAAAATCTTCAGCATAAATTTATCCAGGCCATTGATAAACATGCTGCACAGAGAAGCGCCACCACCTCCGCTTAGTGCCTTCATCTATAAAATGAGACAGAGTAAGGCTGCTCCTAGAACTGATATTCACTTTGTCATTCTACCTAAAAGCGTCATCACAGGAATACATGTTAGCATTATTTAGACGCCTACAGTACTATAATCTCAATTGTTAAACTTCATTCACATATGAGGGGAAGAAATAAAGGAAGCTGTGAAGACAGAAAAACTGATTTCCTTTTTTTTTTTTTAAGATTAAGTAGGCATAGTGAGAAAAAGGAGGTTCTAACTAGAAAAAGAAAGCCACTCACTAAGGAAAAAAGCCATTTAATAAACTGACCTGAAGCCCCAGAGAGATACATACACATCCCAGGAAGACCTTTTGATTCTAGGTTATGAGAAAAGGATAAAATACAAAGGAATATTCAAATTATTCTCTGGATCAATAGCAGGAATTGGAATTAAAGTGAAAAATCAAGCTATAGAGATAGGTTTTAAATTATACCTCAGTATTTATTTTCTTGTAAAGTTTAATACAAATCGATACATGTGACAATGCTATTTAAGTGACAATACTGTATGAATTACAAGGTCATGCCTAGGGCACCACAACCACCAAAGGGTAGCTTATTCTAACTACCTACAAAGCACTTTAAAAAATACACAGTTCCTTAGAGCTTTGTAACCAGAAAACTAAATTTCCAAGTTAAAACACAACACACTTTTATAAGGAAATATACCCTTACTTTGCAAAACGACTCAAAAAGTATAAGGCAAAAGGTGTTTATTTTTTTGAAGAGTACATACAGCAGTGCTAGAATGTAAATAGAGTCCTTAGTATTTTTTCATCCAGATTAAGAAAAGCCAACAGTATTAAAGGATTTTCATTTCCTTATGGTCTTGTCAACTGAAATGGACACAAAGATAATAACTTTTTCATATTAAAAAGTGATCCCAAGGTATTTGTACTTAGATATCACAGAATCACAGAATTATAGGATTGGAAGATACCTTAAAAGGTCACATAATAATTCAAAGCAGGGATTCTCTCAACAACATCCTTCCCAAGTAATCATCTAGCCACTGGAGCAGCTCCAGCGAATAGGAAATGTATCAGTAAGAACCACAACATGAACATCTGTACATTCAATGGTTTCAGAAGAGGTTTTCAATTGTCATAGGGAGGTGGAGGAAACAAAAAAGAGGCAGAGCAGAGACAGACTATTCTAAAAGAAGAATAAGGATGAAGTGGAAGCGTTTATGCCAACATATAGAATAAAATACTGTGATGCATCCCATGAAAGTTGTCAGAATGTAACATCGCTAATGATAAATCCCAACTTTTTTTATTTCTGAAAAACTTTTAATGCTCAAATATTATTTCGTAAAGTAATGCAATTTCACCTATGACACTGGAGACACTTTGAAAAGACAATACAACCCCAACTCAATATTGTTAACCTGTTAAAGATATCTTACCATGAGATTCTAGTCCAGCTCCCTGCGCTAGTCCATTGTCATAAGACTGAAAAAGAAAAATAATACTGTTTACTATAACACAGTAGTTGTTAAAAAGCTACAAGGCTTAGTGGAAAGACAATCAGACATGGAGCCATGAAGTTCAGCCTCTGATACAAACTACCTATGTGACTGTGGGCAAGTCACTTTCTCTCTCATGTCCCAGGTATTTCTTTAAGATCATATGGAACAGTTGATCATCTGCACTGGCAGAGAAAATTTCTTCCCTGAGATTTTCCTATACCAATGAAGTCACAACCTTGCACGAGACAAAATATGAGAACACACTTTTTAAAAACTCAACAACAGACAGAATTAAGTATTACTTTATCTCCTACCGTTATTCTCCTTCGCAATTCCAAAATAACTATTCCTCCTTACAAATGCAGGGCATGAAGGAGGGATGGGCAATCTTTTCACAGGTACCTGACTCTGGCACCAACAACCAGTGGCAAATTGAAAAAATGGATTTTTTTCCAAGTAGTGCACGTCTGAACTGATTTCCTATAAATGATCATCCAAAAACTAGCTATGTGAGTCTAATTTTCTTTTTTAAAAAATCCATTCTTCTTTCCCCTTCCAATTCTTAATTCTATGCATTTGACTAGTTTGCTGTTGACATTGTTATCAGCATGCCTACAAAATCTCACATAGCTATGAGGAAAGTGTTTTGAAAAACTATCAAGTTCTATATAAATATATACTATTATTGTTAGAGTTAAACGTTAAAATAACTAAATTATAAAATATATTTATTATCATAATTCAAGTTTATTGCTTCCAAAGCCTAATAATAAAACCAGTGATAGATGAACATCTGCATAAATAAACAGGAATAAAAATGAACTGAAAAGTAGATCTTACTAATAAATGATAGTCAAATAAAATAACACATTTTAAAATAACAGCCAAAAGGCATATTCCACCCCCACCCCCCCCACCTAATTATTAGAAGTATCACCTCACAGTATAGCAAAGTAGAAAGAACACTGGATTTGGAGTCAGAAGATCTGGGTTGGAATTCTGGCTCTGCTACTTATGACCTGTGTGACCTTCAACAGTCACTTTATCTCTCTAGATTAGTTGACCTCTGAGGTCCATTCCAGTTTTAAATCTATGACCTTATTAAAGTAACAACACCAACTCACAAAATAAGTCATTCTGCCATTAATGTAAGTTTAAGTATGTTACATTTAAATAAAAATATCCATTAGGACATAAGATTAACACCTATAAATTATTTCTTTATGGATGTCAATCTCTATTCCAAAGTCCTTTATCTAAAAGATTAAGATGAATATTTAAGATTCTTTGATTCAGATTTACTGCCTAATAAAAACCATAATTAAACACAGGATCAAAGGATTAGAACTAGAAGGGACCATAGATATATTTAGTTACAGTCCCCTAATTTTATAGAGAAAAGTGTGGCTTAGAGAGGTTAAGTGAAATGACAAGGCCAGGTTTTGAAACTAGGTGCAATGACTCCAAATCCAATGCTCTTTACCTCACATCAAAATATGATTAAATTTATTTACATTTTTTACAAGCACAATTAAGAATGTAAAAAGCATAAAATTTCACAAAATCCAAGACTGATGAGACCTCAGAAGGTCATCTAGGCCAACATCTAACCAGATGACCAGACTGCATGTAATTCTTTATGATTTTCAGATGAAATGTTGCTACTTCACAGATTCAAAGAATTTGAAGTCTGGAAAGGCCTTATAATCCAAATTTTGCTTAAAGTCAAGTAATTTCTAGGTTCTGATCCCTCCTTTGTTATAACACTGTATGCCTAATCCAGTATACGTTCTGCTATATAACAGTATATTCTTTGTAAACATGTTTCAGTGTGTAGAAATCTTTGTATGATTTATGCCTCACATATCTAATATAAATCTTTCTTTTTGGAATTAAAAAAAAATAAACTTCCAAAACTGTCTTCTTTGTAGACAGAACCAATCAATAAAAACCCACTTCATATATTTCTAACAGTCAAATCACCTCTCATGGCTAACTGACTCCTTTTTTAACACTAACCACTCTTGTCTTTATAGGTCCTATTTTCCAGTTCTCATGCCTCTTTATGTACCTATGAATTATCTTTATAGTTGTATTATTTATAAGCTTCATTAAACACACTCATATATTTAATTAAAAACAAACTATACACTATCTCCCATTCTTTCTAAACCTCATTCTGACATGTTAAAACTTTTTTTTGTCCAAACCTGCAATTTTATTGGTGAAGAGAAATTACAGGGAGTAAAATTCTCTCTACTTATGCATACTGCAACTGTTCTGCATCTTACAGTCTCAAGAGTGTCTAGGGCACTGAGAATTAAAGTGACTTGTCCAGTGTCAGTCAATATGTGTCAGAGATCCATTTTTTCCAGACTCCAAAGACAACACTCTACATCAAAATCTCTATTGACTTAAAAGCATATAAAAACTTCACATTTGGGAAATAATACATTTTGCAAAGTGTAATTATTATTATTTTGGGGGGGGGCAATTGTGGTTAGGTGACTTGCCCAGGGTCACACAGCTAGTAAGTGTCAAGTGTGTGGCCTGAGGCCAAATTTGAACTCAGGTCCTTCTGACTTGAGGGCCGGTACTCTATACACTGCGCCACGTAGCTGCCCCTAATTATTTTTTTCTAATTTTATTCAACATTATAAAAAAGGAAAAGAAAAAGGAAATTTGCAATGAAATTTCCTTCTTATTGGGACTCTATGGACTTTTTCAGTAAACTACTTAAACCAGAATGAAACTTTTCTCCTTAAAATAGTATCACTAACTGCTTCATTAGAAATACTTACAGTCTTTGCTTTGCAAGGAACCAACTAAGAAATACAATGACAATCCAACTACAGCAAAACAATTTATTTTCGAAACAGCAAGTCATTTAAAGACATTTAAAGATTAAAATTTTGTAAATCTACAAAAATCTAGTAAAGGCAAAAAATGGCAGAAAAAAAGAGAAACAATTCACGTTCAGGATTTTAGGAAAGGTAGCAAAGCAAAGGTTAAGTTAGCCTTAGAGCCAAGAAAACTCAATTTTAAGTTCCACCTCTGATAACCTACTGATCTTGTCATCCTGGGCAAGTCATTTCAATTAATCAATCAAATAGCTATTTAATACCTATGAGATTAATGAAAACCCCAAGAGGCAGAGTTTCTGGGTAATTAGTAATCAATTTATTAATTAGGCTAGCCAGCAATCAATAAATTGTGGTTTCTCTCTGTAACCAAAGAGAGGGAGACCCTGAAATGCCTTAAATCCCTTCTGAAAGGGGACTCCCTTGACAAGTGAAAATCACATGTGACTGGTGGATATTTAATAAGGAGGTGGGTTAAAAGTCTTTAGCTCCTCCTACTGAGAATATGGCATGATCAGGAGACTCAGAAGCTTCAAAGGATCTGGGCAAAGGAAAGTTAAATCCACGTGGACTTCTCTACCTAGTTTTCTCCTTCATGAACTGAGTGGCCCTAAACTTTAACGGAGGGAAACAAGGACAGGGGGCTCCTCCTCCAGACAAAGGCTTGCCCAGACCGGATTCAGTTTATACTTTAAATAGAAATTAGGTTTCCCAATTGGGTGGGCCTAGGAGTCTAATCTCATCACTCAGCCATGCCCTTCAGAGACTGACTAACCTTTTCAAGAGCTGGGTTTTAACAAAAACAAAAAAGGGTGGATCACAAATTAATAATTATTAATATAACAGTATAATATTAATTTCTCTTACCTACTATGTGCCAGGCACTGTGCTAAGCACTGGGGATATAAAAGGAGGCAACAGATACTGCCTGCCCTCAAAAAGCTTACAATCTAATGGAGGAGACAACACGCAAATATATACATAACAAGCTATATACAGGAAAAACAGGAAATTAACAGAAGGCAGGCATTAGAATTGAGAGTTTGGAGAAGACTTCCTGTAGAAGGCAGGATTTTAGGTGGGCCTTAAAGGAACCCAGGTAGGTCAGTAGCAGTTGACAACTCTCTAAGACTACAAGATTAAGAGGCTCTATCCTGAATATCTAGTCCTTAGCCTATTCATGATTTTATAAGGGAGAAGGAAAGGGAAAATATCATCAATTTCAAATTATTGTCATTAAGAACTGCTAAAGAAGATTTAACTCGGAAGAAAAATGACATAAAAGGGGCATCGAGGTGACACAATAGATAGAGCTCCAGCCTTGGAGTCAGGAAGACCTGAGTTCAAATCCGGCCTCAGACATTTGAAACTCACTAGCTATGTGACCCTGGGCAAGTCACTTAACCCCAAATGCCTCACCAAAAAAAAAAAAGAGAGAGAGAGAAACATCAAGGTAAATCCTATTAAAGATCATAGGAGTTGCAGCTGAAAAAAGGTCATCTAGTTGAAATCCTTCATTTTACAAATAAGGAAACTGGAATTAAGAGAGGTTAAATAACTTGCCCAATGTTACATAGGAAGACCTCAGTTCCCAGACTGCCTTCAACACTTACTAGCAAGTTACCTAACGTCTGCAAGCCCAAGTTCCTACCCATTCTCACCTATGGTATATATGGGGCGTTCAGGAGGACTAGCACCTCTGCTGCGGGGGCTCGCCAAACCCTTTTTAGGACTACTCATCCACCTTTAGTGTCCACCTGATTCAACTCTCACATGTGGCTCCAAGAAGCTGTGGCATGCACAGCAGTAACACCCTGGTAAACCGTCTCAGCAGATGGGCTAACCCAGATGGAGGGTAAGCGACAGGCTTCAAACCTGTCAGTATGTTAGGGGGATGACTACTCCAAGTAAGTGAACACTTCCCCAGGAGGAATGGGTGGATGAGAACAATTTATTACAATGGACATGAAGCATGAAGCGCTTAGAGCTTGGTCAGGTACCAAAGACACCAAGGTCAACCACTGCATTCCAGGATAGTGCCAGTCATCCTCCACCAGACTTCGATGACTCAGGAAGAGAGGCTGACAACTTTGTGCAACTCTGCCTCACTTAAATCCAATTCACAATCAAGTCAAGATGTCATCCCATGTTGATCGGTCCTCTTTAAAAATGAAAGACAAACAACAACCACCTATCTCACAGGATTGATGTAAAGCCTAATGGGATAATGTAGGTAACGAAATTTGCAAACTTTAAGATCTTATATGTAATTGTTTCTATTAAGTAACAGGGGAAAAAAAAGAATAGCAAAACTCACCATACTTCTTCTAATATAGTCTATGGCTTTCTTCATGTCCATGCCTGACCAATTGTTGAGCATATAGCAAATACAGGAAGCACAGTAGACAAACCTCATGTCATTCTCACTACCTTCAGGTATAGCACAAAAACTGAAAGAAATAGATTTTGTTCTTAGCATTGTATTGGCAGTTACTACATGCACTTTACTCCTCCTTTCACTAAAAAGATTTATTTTACCTTCTTACTCTCAGAAACTTTAAATGACAATCTATCTAGTGTAAACTACTGCCTTTACTAGATTATTTAGCAAATCTTTACTGAGAAACAGAAAATATGTTATCACCATTCCACATTACAGATGCAACGTGACCTAGCAAAAAGAATGCTAGACTTAAGAGTCAATTGACATAGAGCACATTCTGACACTTATTTGCTGTGTGTTATTGTTTAGTTATATCTGACTCTTATGACTCCATTTGGGGTTTTCTTGGTAAAGAGACTACAGTGATTTACCATTTTCTTACCCAGCTCATTTTACAGATAAGGAAACTGAGGCAAACAGAGTTAAATGACTTGCACTGGGTCACATAGCTAGTAAGTGTCTGAGACCAAATTTGTACTCAGTTCTTCCTAATTCCAGGCCCAGTGCTCTATCCACTGTGTCACCTAGCTGCCACTATTACCTGTGTAATCATGGCCAAATCCCTTATTCTCTTCAACCTCTGCTCTCTCACCTACAAAATGGGACACTACCATTGATAGGAGGCAGCACAGCATAGGGCACTATACTTGGGAGTCAGAAAGATCTAGGTCCAAATTCTACCTTGGACACTTAATAACTGTGTAACTACAGTCACTTAACAACAACAACTACTACTACTAACACTACTACTGCTGGTGCTACTACTTGTACTACCTAATAGGGATGTTGTGCAATGTTGGTGATACTCTCTAGGCAGCTTTACATTTGGCCACTGCTATGCCTCCTTTCCCAATACCACGTCTGAGAAACAGTTTTATCTGCTCCTATTCAATCCGTGAAGAGCTGTGGAATATTGTCAGGATTATGGAAGTGGTAGTCAAAGAACAGTGGTACTGGCACCAGTGGTTTTATGGAGCAGGTGGATAAAGTTGCTTTTGGAAAGCTACAGTAGATAAGATGCTAAATGCAGATAAAGTCACTTTGGGTGCTACAAGTACAGTACTAGGACACATTGGGACAATCTCCTAGAACAAGACAAATGATTCTCAGGTATAACTACATAATCAGGAGTTAAAACATTACTGTGGGCAGGTCTCTGAAATGGTTTGAAGGGAAAGTATAGGCTAATGATAAGGAACTGATTAGGGTTATAGGCAACTTCTTAATCCTAAATCTGAAAGGCATGGAACAGGGATTTTACTTCAAACCTGGCAGTAGAAAGAAGGTATTTCAAGGAACCCAGTGCTGAAGAGCTCCAATTAGCTACTTGGTTCATTTGGGTTTGGCTCTGCATTGTGACAGACCATCCACACATATGTCCTGCTTGTATGCCCTTGCATCCATGTGTGCTGGTCACAAATGTTCCCTACGTGCCCCTCCACACCCAAGTCCATGTTGTTTACTCTTCCTACCAATGTTAGGAATATTTGAGGGACACTGTGCCTCAAGTTTAAAAGCAAAATGTTCTACTATTACTTTTCTTACAATGCTATTTGTAAATGCCTTTGCTTTGAACAAATTCTGCCCTCTGGCTGACTCGTAAAAGCAAACATATTTGAGAGGACTTTTGTGATATGGTTTTTCAAGTGAATGTCAAACCAGTGTACCCTGAACCCATGCTCAAACTTTTTAGGATGGGGGAATATGTGTGAGAGCGCGTGCTACAGCCAGAAAGTTGTATTATGGGGATGGTTAGTGAACATACAGAAAAGGAAGCAGTAATTTAAATGAGCAGCATGCATACATGCAAAAACAAAAATAAAAACAAAAAAACACCCCATTATTGTGTTTTTATTTTTCCACCTATTTCAGGAGCTTTTTAGGGATGTATTTTTGGGAGTATCTTAGATCTGACTCCTCATTTATATACAAGTAACATGTGTTAAGTTTAATAATTTAAAAGTACTCTACAATAATGGGTAAAACAGGATTCAAGCACATATTTTCCTTATTAGCTCAGGTTATACTTTGTCTTCGAGTATTTCTAAATTTATTCCCGTCTTCCCATAGAGAGATGTGATCATTTGGTTATACTACAAGTTTCAGAGAAACTTCTAAGTACATATGTTTACCAGTAGTAACAGCATTAGTTTATTTACAAAGACATTTTTTTTTAAACTTTTTATCTTATTCCTGCCCACTTCATCTTGTTCTGCCAACAACCCTCAGTAATAGGCTTGGACAAATCAAAAAGACGAAGTTATTATCACTATCCGATCTGGACATTATGGAACATTATGGAAATTCCAGATATTTTCTTTTCATTAGAGAAGTCCTGAAGGGGATACCCTGAGCTGGAATCTAAAAAAAATTGAAGATTTTCAAGTCAGCAAAAAATGCATTTAAAGAACAGTATGCATAAGGAATTATTAGGACTAAGCAACCATAATCCCCAGTCTATCAAATGAGAAAATTAATACTGACCTAGAATGAATAAAACAAGAATTACTAGTCAGTCAATAAATATTTATTAAGTGCCTCCTATGTGTCAGGCACTGTGCTAAGTACTAGAGATACAAAGAATATACTGATGGTATGCTGGCATACAAACAGAGGCAAAGGATAGTCTCAGCAAGGAGTTTACAATCTAATGGGAGAAGACAACACAAAAAAGGAAGTTGAAAAGTAGGAAGGGAGGGAGGGGAGTCAGAGAAGTCCCAAAGTAGTACAGCCAGGTGAGAAATGAGATGTTCTGAGCTGAGCTCCCTCCTTAAATGGAGGCTAAGAGTTCACGGATCCATCCTGTAGCCAGAAGGTCAGTTATGAGGTAGAGTACCAAAGCTAGATGCATGAAGTTCTGGATGCAGGATGATGGAGTTTTATCCTGTTAGATGCAGGATGATGAAATTTCCCTAATAATGAATTCTCTGGGGCATAGTGGAAATGTCACAGAAGCTCCAAAATAGTGTGACCATGTTAGAAATGAGGTTATTCAGAAGCAGTTAAAGAACTTATTGAATTATCTATCTCTATACTCTTCCACCCAGACATTCTTATGACCAATGCCAAGCATCTAAAAAATGATTAAGAATAAGTTAAGAATGGTTAGGAATAAGCTACACTCTGTCACTAAGGAATAAAAGTTATTTTCTGTGCGAAATTCACTAGCTAATGAGGGACATAAGACCACTCTGAAGTCTTGACCAGACTGAAACAGAAAATCTCTCTTACTTCAGCAAGATGTAGGACTATCTTTAGCATAAAACCTTTCCTAATGCCCTGTGTTTAACTATTTTGCATGTATTTGCATTTATTCATTTCATTTTTATGCTACACATTATCACACACATAATTGTTGTTTCTCCCCATTAAAATATAAGCTCCTTTTGAGCAGAGATTCTTCATTCTTTGTACTTACATATTCAGTGTTTAAATACGGTGCCTGCGACGCTGTAGCTACTCATTGATAAATGCTTGTTTGGTATATTCAATCGAATATTTTGTACATATTGTGAACTCAACTCTAGAGGTGCTCAATCTCTTACGACTTTCTTCTACTTACATGAGCTGAAGCAAAGTGAAATGCACTGTGCACAAAGTAACAACAATATTGTAAGATGATCAGCTGTGAATGACTTTGCTATTCTCAGCAACACAATGATCCAAGACAACTCCAAAGGACTTCATGATGAAAAATGCTATCCACCCCAGAGAAAGAACTGATGGTGTCTGAATTCAGATTGAAGCACCTTTTTTACACTTTCTTTATTTTTCTTGAGGTTTGGTTGTTTTCTTTTCTTTTTTTTGGCCTATTTTCTTTCACAATATGACTAATATGGAAATTTTTTACATGACTACACATGTATAACCTATATCAAATTACTTGCCTTCTCAATGGAGTGGAGATTGGGAGGGGGAAAGAAGGGAGAAAATTTGGAACTCGATGTTTTAAAAACGAATGTTAAAAATTGTTTTTCCATGTAACTGGGGAAAAATAAAATACTAAATAAAATTTTTTAAAAAAGATTTTCTTCTCCCTCTATCACTTCGTGATCTCATCAGCTTCCATGGATTTAATTACCATCTCCATGCTGATGATTCTCAACCTGCCATGGTTGACCTCCAATCTCACATCTCCAGACATCTAGAACTGGTTGTCCAGTAAATACCTTAAATTCAACATGTCCAAAACTGAAATCATTATCTTTTCCCCTAAATCCTCCCCGTCTCCTTCCTATTTTCCCTATTCCTGTGGAGGACAACACTATCCTTTCAATAATTAGGCTCACAAACTAGGAATAATCCTAGAGTCCTCACAATCTCTCACCCTCCATATCCAATCTGTAGCCTGTTTGACTTCACCTTTGTAACATCTCTCGAATACGCCCCCTGCTGTCCTCTGACACTACCACCTTGGTATAGGACCTTATCACTAACACCTGGACTACTGCAATAGCCTGCTGATGAGTCTGCCTGCCTCAAGTATCTTCCCACTTTAAACTACCCTCTATTTAGACACCAGAGTGATTTTCATCCCCCTACTCAAGAAACTCCAGTAGCTCCCCTATCACCTCCAGAATTACATTTTTAAAATCCTGTTTGGGGTTCAAAACTCCTCCTTTGAGAAACCCCTCCTACCTTTCCAGGTTTTTCACATTTCACTCTCCATCAAATACTTTTTGATCCAGTGACGCTGACCTCCTGGCTGTTTCATGAACAAGACACTCCATCTCCTGGCTCCATGCATTTTCTTTGGTTGCCTGCCATGCCTGGAATGCTCTCCTTCCTCATCTCACTAGCATCTTCCCTGACTTCCTTAAATCTCACCTTTTACAGGAAGTCTTTCCAATCCCTCTTAATTTAGTGCCTTCCCTCTTTACCTATTTATTTTTTCTATTTATGCTGTATATAGCTTGTTTTTACATATGTTTATTGTCCCCTCCATTAAATGACTCTGAACTACTTGAAGGGATGGTCTTGTGCCTTTTTTTGTATACTAACACCTAGAATAATGCCTCACACATAGTAAGCACTTAACAAATATTTACTGACCTCCTTTTTCAGGATTAGTGGGTAATTTATAAGATTTTTAATCTGGCAGTCCATGAACATATTACAAAAAATATTTTGATAACTATGTTTCAAAATAATTGGTTTTCTTTATAATCCTATGTATTTTATACATTTAAAAATATTCTGAGAAGGGGTCCATAGATTTCACCACATGAGTTGCATGACACAAAAACGGTTAAGAAGCCCTCCCTGTTCTTGATAAAAGATGGATAATTGTCAGGGCAGCTAGATGGCGCAGTGGATAGAGCACCGGCCCTGGAGTCAGGAGGACCTGAGTTCAAATCCAGCCTCATACACACAACACTCGCTAGCTAGACTCTGGGCAAGTCATTTAACCCCAATTGCCTCACTTTAAAAACAAAAAAGGATAATTTTCTAGCAATATTCATGTGAAAAAACTCTATTCTAAATAACTAGGAATTAATAAGAGAAATATAAATTTAAAAAAACTAAAATTTCACCTTACACCTATCAAATTGCCCCAAGATGGCAATTTGATAAAACATGGTAATAATCAATGTTCAAAGAGATGTGAGAAGACAGGAACTTCATTAATACATTTTGTGAGCTGTAAACTGGTCTAACTATTCTGCAAAACAACTTGGAACTATGCTACAAAAATGACTAAACTCTTCATCCTCTTTGACCTGGTGATCCCACAACTGTGGGGATAAAGATAAAAGGAAAGTTCCATACATTCCAAAATATTTATATCTACACATTTTTATGATGGGAAAAAACTGGAAAAAAAGCAGATACTGATCAATTGGGGGACAGATGAATAAACTGTTACATAAATTTAATGGACTATTACTGTGCTATAAAAAATGAAAAATAATGAGGAATTTGGAAAAATTTGGCAAGATCTATATAAAGTAATAGAAAGCAGAACCAAAAGAATATACACTATGACCACAGTAATGTAAAAGGCAAATAACACTAGAGTTCTGAATTGGATCAACCATTCCGGAAAGCAGTCTGGAACTATATCCCCAACTATATCCCACGTCACTATACGTAGCCATATTCTTTGATCCAGAAATATCACTATTGGCTGATAACCCCGGAAGAGATTAAAACAAGAAAAAAATTCATAGGTGCAAAAATATTTATAGTAGTTCTTTTCACAGTAGTCCCAAACTGTAGACTAAGGGGACTCACTTCTTGTGGAACAGTTAAATTACGGTATATAAATGTAATATTATTGCTGGTCCACAATAAATGCAAAATGGACAGTTAAAGAGAAAACAGGGAAAATCTTTATGAACTGATACAATGAAATGAACAGTATTAGAACAATTTATACAATGACAATATTTTAGAAAAAAAACAACTTTGAAAGTCTTCAGAATGCTGACAGAATGCAATGATAAACCATGAAGACAGAAGACTAAAGATGAAGCACACAGTCCACCTTTTATTGTTTTGTTCTGCTTTTTGGTTTGTTTGTTTTTAGGCAATTGGGGTTAAGTGACTTGCCCAGGGTCACATAGCTAGTGTCAAGTGTTTGGTCTGAGGCCAAATTTGAACTCAGGTCCTCCTGACTTCAAGGCTGGTGCCCTATCCACTGTACCACCTAGCTGCTCCCTACAGCCCATCTTTTAAAAGAAAGGTGAAAGCTTAAAATGAACAATAAGACATACATCTTTGGGTATGATCAATGTGGAAATTTATCTTTCTGGCATATGCATATTTGTTACAACGGTTTTATTTTTGTTTTTTTAATTGTTCAAAGGGGGGATATATAAAGTGGGACAGAGATAAATAACAAATACATTGTTCACTTTTAAAAAAAGGAAAACAAACTAAAGCATTCTAACTCCAACTGATATAGCAACCAATTTCAACTCCTGAGGGTTAAGGATGAAACATATATCCCACTTCTTGAGAAATAAATGGCTAAAATGTTAATTTGCATGGTTTAACTATATTTCTTATATAGGAGAGGTTTCTATGGGAGAGGGATTATTGGTTAAGAATGATGAAAAATATCAATGAAATATAAAAAGATGGGCAGTTTTGTGGAAAAAATACATTTGAAACATTATTAATATAGAGAAATGAAAACCGAATGACTCCTATGACATTTTAAAATGAAAAGAAATTAGTAAATTAAGATTTGAATGTCCAAAGCATATTGCAATTACAGAACCACTTCATGGAATACTAGTAGCTTCACTTTCCCTACTGTAAGTGGTAGTTAAAGATTCTTGAGAAATGATAGTAGGGAAGGTGGTAGAGCAGTTAAATTCTCACCCGAGGACCCAAAAAGGAAATCCTCAAGAGCAATAAGACCATAGAACAATGTTTTCCTTTTAAAAAATAAAGTCCCTTAACTGCTCCATTTCAGTTTATTCACCTAGAGGGTTCCATTAGATTAACCCTTAGGTCCATTGTAGTTCTAAAAAGTACAATATATTAGTCAGAAAAAACTATTCTTTATTTGGGAATATCCTGTGGACAGTCAAATCTTAGCAGAACTGAACTGTTTTCATAGAAGGTTAACCACCTTCTATGGTAACAAAGAAAGATAACAAAAGCAGAGCCAAGAAGTAAATGAAAACTTGAATTTCTTGCTACTAAAGCAGTCTTGACAATGCTATCATAGCCCAAGACTACATAATATGCTATTCAGTTCTAATTTAACTTCCTCTTAAAGAAAGTTCCAGAATATATTAAATTATGTTTAAACTTATACTCATACATTTATTTCAATATTTAGGCCTACATTTTCATTTTATTCCTACTTCACTACTAGACTTCTTTACTATATTGGTTTCCTTTCTATTTTAATAATAATAATAGTTTAGTATTTATAAAATGCTTTAAGGTTTACAAAGCACTTTGTGTTCATCACATGCTTCAAAAATTGTTTAATTATTTGTATTTTAATTCCTAGAGCATAGAAAGTGCCCAGTACACAGAAGGCACCAAATAAATGCCTGACATTCAAATAAAAAGTATGTTTTCCTCAAAATGATCCACATATGGGGGCAGCAAGGTGGCGCAGTGGATATAGCACCAGCCCTGGAGTCAAGAGGACCTGAGTTCAAATCTGGCCTCAGATACATAACATTCACTAGCTGTGTGACTCCAGGCAAGTCACTTAACCCCAACTGCCTCACCCAAAAAAGAAAAATTTAATTTGGGGCAACTAGGTGGCACAGTGGATACAGCACCGGCCCTGAAGTCAGGAGGACCTGAGTTCAAGTCCAGCCTCAGACCAAACACTTGATACTTACTAGCTGTGTGACCCTGGGCAAGTCACTTAACTCCAATTGCCGGGGGGGTGGGGAGAAAGAAAAAAAATGATCCACATACTTCCATTCTGAAGGAAAAGATTATTTAATTAGGTACTATTCTATCTTGTTTGGAGCTAATAAAAAGATTAGTGCCACTACAACAATCATCATTTTAAATCATGAAAAAAATTAGGGGTAATTTTCTTTATTAGGAATTCAACTATAGGTTGTCATTCATACCAACCTTTGGTTGGTTCAAATGAGAATTGTTATACTCCCTATTTTTATTTTATTCATATCTGTTCAAATGAAGAAATTTATCTTAAAAAGTGACAAAGAATTCATCATACCTTCCATCTTCCAGCTGAAGTGCTCTCAACCCTGCTAAGCATGCTTCTTTATTTACTCTGCTTAAATCATCTCCAAGAATAACTAAGCATGAGAGACCAGTATAAGTCATTGCTATATGTCCACTGTCATAAGGATGAGCTATGCCAAGATCCTAAATTTAAGAAAATACAATTATAATTAGGAAACTGGTTATCATACATCAATAAACAATTCAATGTTAGATGGCTAGTGAATAATCAGATTCAATTTAATTTGCTAATATTTTACATGCAGAAAGCGTCTTAAGAGAAGTCTAAGAAAAACCACAATTCTCTCACGTAAACATCAATAACAATGGGCATTACATGTATTCCAGTATAAATTTAAAATTTATCCTGCGTAAGTTCAAAATTGCCAACATTATAAATATTTCCTGATTCCTTAGAATAAAAGTTTATTCAAACTACAGTTAAAGCAAATACTCTTTCTTCTGAATGATAAAGATATACAATTAACTATATTTTCTAAACTTAAGATGTAAAAGTATTAATTTTATGAAAATTGTTGCAATAACTTTAATAAAATCCAGGCCCCTACAATTTAACATCCTGGAAATGAGAAAAATATTTATCCAGTATTAAATGCTCCATTCTCCAAAGTACTTAATGTAATAAGTAATCAGATACAACACAAAGGAACAAAAGAAACTGAACGTATTTTAGACAATCTACCAAAGTATCAGCTTAATCCTGTCCCTCAAAAAATAAAAGGCTATAAAAAGGCCAGGAGAAAACCAAATATTAAACTGCCAGGAAAAGCAATTTGGTAGAAAAGAGGTTTACATCAACATCTTAGATTATATTTTATAATAAGTTCCAAATAGATAAATCACATAAATAAAAGATTATATAATAAAGAAATAAGAGGCTAACAGAAGGATGTATCTTGTGTAATTATAGCTAAAGGAAGAATTCTTAACAAGGGATAGATTACACACCACATACCAAGACAAGAACCAACAGGTACGTAAGTTAAACATAAAGGCTGACATAATGAAATTAGAGGAGCATGGAAGAAATTGCCAGTCAGATCTATGGACAGGGGAAGAGTTCACAACTGGGGGGAGGGTGGAAGGAGGGAGGGGAGCAGGGAGAGAGGACCAAGTAGGGGGAGAGGGTTAGCAGAAGATAAAATGGACAATTCCAATTACATAAAAGTATAAAGTTTTTGCCCAAATAAAACCAATACAGCTAAAATTAGAAAAGAAGTGGGAAATAGGGAGAAAAAATGATAGTGTCTGGCACACAGCAGGTACTTAGTAAACATTTTTGATTGATTGCAGCAAGTTTCTCTAATAAAGGTCTCATTTATATCTAAGATATAAAAGGGAGTGAGTCAAATTTATAATAAACCTAACTCCTCAAATGATAAGTAATCAAAGGATATGGATAGGCAGTTATCAGAAGAAATTCAATTTTTATATGACTATCAGTAGTTATATAGAAATGCTCTAAATCACTAATAATTACAGAAATGAAAATTAAAACAAATTTGAGGCACCAACTCTCATCCGTCAGATTGGATAGGCCAACAAAAAAGAAAAATGATAAATGCTGGAGGGGCTGTCAGAAAACAGGTACATTAATCCATTGGTGACAGAGCAGTGAATTGTCCAGCGATTCTGGAAAACAATTTGGAACTAACACAAAAAGTTTATGTTTTCGGGTAGCTAAGTGGTGCAGCGGATAGAGCACTGGCCCTGAGGTCAGGAGGACCTGAGTTCAAATCTGGCCTCAGACACTTGTGACCCTGGGCAAGTCACTTACCCCCAACTGCCTCACCCAAAAAAAAAGTTTACATTTTTAAAACTGTGCACATCCTTTGACCCAGTGATGCCAAATAGTAGGTCTATATCCCAAAGAGATCAAATAAAGAGAAAAAGGATACATACACACACACACACACACACACACACACACACACACAGACACAGAGACACACACACACACACACACACACATACATTTATAGCATCTTTTCATGATAGCAAACAACTGGAAACTGAGGGGGTGTCCATCAACTGAGAAATGATTGAACAAATTATGGAATATGAAGGAACTCTACTGTGCTATAAGAAATGATAAAGAAGATGGTTTCAGAAAAACTTGAGACAACATGTATGAACTAATGCAAAGTGAAGTGAGCAGAACCAGTAGAATAATTTATACAATAACAATATTGTAAAGATAACTCTGAAAGACATAAAAATTCTGATCAACACAATGCCCAACCACAGTTCCAGAGGACTCATGATGAAACATGAAACCTCCAGATAGACAGGATAGACTCAAAATGCAGTTTGAAGAATTTTTTTTTCACATGGTTAATGCAGTAATTTATTTTGCACAACCATACATATTTTGTAATGGGCTTTCTTTCTTTCCTTCTTTCACTTTTCAATGGGTGGGGAAGGACACAGAGAGAATTCAAACTGAAAATAAAATTGAATAAAAGCGAAGGACAGGTGATCAGATTAAAACAGACAATTTTAATTACATAAAACTGAAAAGCTTTTGCACAAATAAAATTAGTGCTGCTAGGTTTAGAAGAGAGACAGTAAAACAAGGGAAAATTGCTGCAGCTATTATTTTTTATAAAATGCTTTATGTTTGAGACTTATCAAAACAAATATATAAGATAAAAATCACTTGTCAAGGATATGAACAGGCCCTTTTCAAAAGAAGTCATCACTAATCATATTAAAAGAATGTTCCAAATCATTAATAAAAGAAATGAAAGTTAAGACAACTCTGAGATTTCATTAACATCGTACCCTGACTGAAAAAATAATCCAAGATGAAAATTGAAAATGTAGGAAGACATGCACATTAATGCACTGTTGGTGTAACAGGGAATTGGCCCAGTCATTTTGGAAAGGAATTTAGAATTATAATGAAGAAGTAACTAAAACTGTACTACTACTACTCTATGTAGTAAATGACTACTAGGCATATGGAGGCAGCTAGGTGGCTCAGTGGACAAAGCACTGGGCCTGGAGTAAGGAAGATCTCAGTTCAAATCCAGCCTCAGACACTTACTAGTTGTGTGACCCAGGGCAAGTCACTTAACTTTGTATACCTTAATCTATTGGAGAAGAAAATGACAAACCACTCCAGTTTCTTTGCCAAGAAAACTCCATGGACAGTACGGTCCACAGGGTCACAAAGAGTCAGACATGACTGAACAACACTAGGCATATACCCCAATAAGGTCAACAGAGGAAAAGGTCTCATACATAAATACTTCCAGTGGTGCTTTTTGGAGTAGCAAAGAACTAGAGACAAAATTGATGCCCAGGGGCAGCTAGGTGGCGCAGTGGATAGATCTCTGATCTTGAAGTCAGGAGGACATGAGTTCAAATCCACATGACACTTACTAGCTGTGTGACCCTGGGCAAGTCACTTAACCCCAATTGTCTCACCAAAAAGCTAAATAAATTAAAAAAAAAATTGTTGCCCAGTACCTGGGGAATAAGTGAATACTTTCTGTGGTATAGGAAGGTAATGAAATATTATTGAAAGCATCATAGCAAATAACTACAGCTAGGTCCCAATTAGTACAAATAATAAAACCCATGAAGGGGTTGCATTTTTTATGGTAACTGATTCCAGCCCAAAGAAATATGCAGTGCAAGTCTGAATAAGTGACCAGTTCACAGGATTCATTATTTAAAATAACTGGTAATTGGGGCAAGTAGGTGGCTCGGTGGATAAAGCACCGGCCCTGAAGTCAGGAGGACCTGAGTTCAAATGTGACCTCAGACACATAACATTTACTAGCTGTGTGACCCTGGGCAAGTTACTTAACCCCAATTGCCTCACAAAAACAAAAAACAAAATAATTGTTAATTAATTATTAGACTCCTATGAAACTTGGAAAGACAAACAGATATAAAGCAAAGCTAACAGATAACATTATCATCAGGAAAAATAGTTTACACAATGAACAACTGTAATATAAAAGGAACTATAAAAAACATAAATAAGAAAAATAAATGAAAAAAATACAAAAAATATATAAATGTTAAAAAAATTCTTATCAAGGCAGAATCCAATCATGACTTCAGAGAACTAAAGGTGAAGTAGGCTTCCCACTGCTTGGCAGAAAGGTGGTGAATTATAAGTGCAGAATGAATCAAATGTTTCTAGATATGACCAACGAACTGATTTATTTTGCTAACTGTTCTTATTTGTTACAAGGGTGGGGAGAAGAGTAACTAGAAAGTAACATGGAGCAGGATTTAGCCCTTTATTATTTGTAAGCCTTACTTTTTTTTTTTAATATAAAAGTGGTTCAGTTAACATCAAGGATATAATGCATGCCAAAATTAAGCATAGTAATATTTTAGTAGAAATCACCACATTTTATATTAAACTGATTCAAATGAAAGAGCAACCTAAATCATTTTAGGAGAGTTTCTATCTCATGATATCTATATTCAACTTTAAATTTTGACCTTTAGAACTAGGATATAAACCCATCTTGTGAGTTCATGCATTCAGCTGATCAATTCAACAAGTATCCTGTTAAGAATACCGAAATGAGTAATTATGAAGTATATAACTCTCAGTACTATTATGCTCAGTTATAGGAAGAAGAGAAAGGGGAAACATTAATGGCAAACCATCTAAGGTAACATTTTAGGTGTAGGCAGGATGGGATCAGATTATAGGGGAATTTGAAAGTTAATAAATAATGAAGCCATCCCTTTATGGATATCCTAGAGCAACTGCTGTACTTGTTTTGACTTCCTATTCTGTCCACAGATGCTTCTACTTCGTTCTGAGCATATTTCCCCTGTAGCAAAGGTTTTATAAGATATTGTGTGTATGCACTATCTTAAATTCTAAACTTTGAAGACCAAGTAACCTATCTCAATTCTGGCTTTTAAAAAATAACTCAGGAGTTAATGTGTTCCTAATTTTTACTCTAGCAACTTACTACCTTTAATTTTAAGTCAAAAAAGATAATTGGAAAAAGGTATGAGAGTTACACACTACATAAACTATTCATTTCGGTATTCTTAAAGGGATACTTGTTAAATTGATCAACTGAATGCATGAACTCACAAGATGGGTTGATATCCTAGTTCTGAAGGTCAAAATTTAAAGTTGAATATAGATATTATGAGATAGAAACTCCCCTAAAATGATTTAGGTAGGTCTTTCTTTTGAATCAGTTTAATATCATAATATGTGGTAATTATCATCATTATTTTTATGAATAACGATACTGAGGAAGAGGCATATGTTTTGCACTAAACAGCAGGAAGGGTAAATAACCACTCTAGAAACACAGCAAATAACAATAATAACAATACCTTTGCTGGACTGGAGATTTGCATTTTCAGGGGAAGGAAGGGAGGAAGAAAATTAGAAATAACCAGATTTTGGTGTATTCCAGGAATAATTCAGCTTTTACTGTTTTAACATACTCTATTAATACATGTAGCCTCGTTCTAGCTAGCAATGGATAGTTTAACACATTTCTCAACTTTTTTTGCACCATGCATCCATGCCCTTTTTTGTCCCCCAACACAGAGCTAAACTAACCTTAGATGGATTGAATGGAATTCCCAGGTATGAAGAACCTCGGAAACCACAGCGGTTTAAATTTGATCCTAGAAAATAAACATACATATTTACTTAAGTTAAAATGAAACCTTTATTTTTGCTAGGTAGTAAAATACAGCACAATATTAAATCAAGCCAAAAAAAAAAAAAAGGCTATCAATTGAGATATGTAGGGATAGAACTTGTATACCTTTTTTTGTCTGTACTTGTGATTTCACTGACATAGGGAACTCCCAGTGAGGTAAATCCCCCTATTAACACATATCAGCAGCTACTACTTACAGACTCTGAACATTTCCTAGAACACTGAGATGTTAAGTGATTCGCCCAAAGATACACAGCCAGTCAGTATGTATCAGAGGTGGGACTTGAATAGAGGTGGGACTTGAACACAGGTCTTAATTCTTAGGCTGGTTCTTTAATAACTGTAATATGCAGTCCTTCATATACATATATACACACATTTTAAGAAAATATACATGCTTTTCATATAGACTTTTCCACTGTGAGGTTAAAGTAGCTGTATAGTCTTTAGAACAGTTGGAGAGCCCTCAGAGGAAGACAATCATAATAGTCAATGTCCTTGGGATGATACTACATGAAAACTGTTAAATGTAGTGGAAATATTGAAGTTTTGAGATGTAAGTGATGACTGTCTTCAAGTATCTGAAGGACTAGCATGCAGAAGAGGGATCGGACCTCTTTTGTTTGGCCCCAAAAGGCAGAACTAGATTTTGGTTAAATCATTTCCTAACAGTAAGAGGAGTCTAAAAGCAGATCGAGATACTGGGTTCCCTCTCACTAGAACTCTATAACGTAAAGTTAGATGATTATCTGTCTGGTAGGTTGTTGAAAGGATTCTTGTTCCGGCATGAGTCAGTCTCTGAAATCCTTTCCAACCCTGACATTTTGTGAGGTTAGCAGTTAAAAACTAATATGCAAAGGCAAAATACTCAGCCTATATATTCACTCACTAAAACTCTTATTAAAAATGTTACAGATAAAACCAGAAATGAGAATTTGATTACTAACAGAAAAGAGAAGATGGAAAGGAAGTATGGCTATAGCAGAAACAGAAACAAACAAAATGGCAAGTGAGAAAACAGGAAAACTCAGTTGTGCCTATGCATTTAAAAAAAAAAAAGGCCTTTATGAAATTTGGCTTAAAACCACTCTGGTTGGAATATAATCATCCACACTATAAAGTCAAAGAATTCATATTAAATCAAAATTAGTATTTTTTCCTTAGATACTCCAACCCCCAAAACTGAAAAGCTTTTTCCTGGCAAATAATGTTGTATTATTCCCTAAATTTCTTTTTTAAAAAAGTAATGTTTTCCTAGACTAGACTCTTTTCTTTGCCTAGGAATTTAACAAAAAATACCTGTTCGTATTGGTCAGGTCATTCATTATCTTTTGTTTTGCTTTTCCTCATTTTGTTCCATGCCCCTATCTGATACTATTCCTTAGTGAACTAATCTGATTGCTATTTTTGGTGTTAATTTTAAAGTCTCATCAATTTTTAGCTTAACTAAATTTTTAAAAAAATTTATGCTGATACCAACTAAATACATTTATTATCTATTACCTACATCAAAGACAGCTAGAAGACTAAGGACCCACAAGGGAAAAAAGGAAATCTCCACTCTTGAGGAATTTCCTCATAGTTTTTAATAGTGTTCAAATTTTACCTATAATATTCCTAAGGAGATGAGTTCCATTTAATTGAACTCAATAAATATTTATTAAATACCTGATACTTGCAAAATCTGATATTAGTGAACAAAAATTTAGCACTCATATCTTTCAAGGAACCGTACATGCTCCTGAAAACAGGGATTGTTCTAATACAATGCCTGGGACATAGTAAGCATTATATAAGTGTTAGCTAGCATCAGCAGCATCACCATCATCATTATTACTTGTTGATTGACTGATTCTGACATTTTCGTGGGAGACTAAAGGAGAGCTATTAAGGATAGCTCTATTGAATCTACTGCTTTAGCTGAATTTTTTTTTGTTAGTACACAAATAATAAGAATAATGAGTGTTTTCTTGAAATTTTTGTCAATTGTGTAATGGTAAAGATTCAGTCAGTTTGTTAGTTTATTAGTTGGACTACTGTTTACAAAAGACATCCTCTTCCCTTCTAAAATACTCTCATCAACGATGCCCCAAAAGGTAATGGAAAAAGGCATAGTGAGTGTGAATAGATAGCAACACATTACAAAAATTATAAAAGGAGACATGGAGTAAAGGATGTCATCAAAAAAATACGATCGGAAAGACAGATTGACTGTGTCTTGTGATCAGAAAGAGGAAGTGTCAACTGGAAGCCCGTGGACTTGGACTCCACTAGTATTCTTGAGACCTAGGTAAAGAAGAAAAAAGGAATGCCCGTAACATATGGGGGTGGACTCCCTGTGATGAGCTCATGTAAGGCAATTGCATTAGATGGGAAAACATGAATTTGATGTGATGTTTATGAATGGAGAGACTATTCCACAACAATGAGATCATAGATCCACTTGACCTTAAGCAAAATACTGTGATAGGTAGGCCTAGTGGTATAAATATAAATCTTATGAAAAACTGTAAGGTTTACTCCAATTTAAAATGCCAATTTAATCATAACAATGCGGCAGATTTACTCTTCAGAAATTCAATACCAGTCAAATCTCTGCAAAAGTTAAAAAAAGCCTTAATTGTTCTTTTTTATTTATAACTGGTAAGGAGGACTATTATGCTAATCATTACAGCAAACTAAACATGTTCAAGGAAATTATCTCCCAACTTCTTAACTGTTAAAAGTATTATTTAATAGCACCATCTACTGTTCCAGTTTAAAAGTGTCAAAGCTAAAAAGTACCCAGTGAAGTCATTACATTTTAGGAGCTAGAAAAATTCATTCAGGCTACTCTGGATTCAAATTTTACTGTGTGCCATTAGGAAAGTCACTTAATCTCTTGGTATCTCAAGCAGCTCTCCAGACCATTGCTTTTATTCATTGGAATTGAGAGTTCCCTACATCAATAACATCACAAGCCTGAAGCAAAAAAGAACAAAGAAAAGTACTGGTCAAAATAATTATTTTCAGCCCATATCATTGCATAGCACTTGCCTGATTTGTAACTTTTGAAAAAATGGTTTTCATTATGCATAATCATATAGTCTTTTATAGTGTCATGTTGTTGTTTAGTACGTGTTCAATAATAAAACCCTAAACCTCTTCTTGACTGAGGCAGGCCATGTCACCTATCTCAATACTTTCCACAAGAACACATTTTTAATGTAAAAAACAATAAAAAGCACAGTAATTAATGGACTGTGGTAAACAGTATCTATCTAAAACCAAGAGCTAGCATTATCTGATAAAAATATGCTGGAAGGCTTTTCAGGTAAGATCAGGATAAAATGAAGATAGCTACCGTTACCACTTTTATTTGATATAATTCTACAAATCCCAGCTATTGCAATAAAGCAAGATAAATTGAGGAAAGAACTGTAAGTAAAGAGGAAACAAATTTATAGCTTTTTGCAGGTGACAAAATGGTTTAGTAAGAGAATCCTAGAGATTCTAGTAAAAATTAACAGAACCAATTAATAACTTCATTAAGTAGCAGGACATAAAATGTGCTCACAAAACCATCATCCTTTATGTACATTACCAACAAAACTCAGGAAGAGAAATAAAGAAATCTATTTAGAATGTATAAAATATCTAGGAGTCTACTTAACAAGCTGCAATAGGAATAATATGATAACAACTTCAAAGCACTCTTTACAGAAATAAAGAATTACTTAAATAACTGGAGAGATATTAAACTCAGAGATGGGCATTGCCAATACAATAAAAATGTTACTATCTATTATAACATCTGTAGGTCTCAATCCCCATCTATAAACTAGAATATCTCAAGATTCCTTCTAACTCTAAATCCTATAACTGCACATGATGATAAAGAAGGGGAGAGAAAGATGTTATATCTAAGGCATTATTAGCAACTTTTCTTTACTACTGAATATTTCCATCCACCTTTTAGTTAACTCTAAGCTAATTAATTTGTCATACAGAGAATTTTACATATTCCTGTACACAAGAGAATCCATAATATTCCTAAATATCTGCTCTACTACCTTTTCCTTCCTACAAGTCTACCTGTGTTGCCTAAGACCACTAACTATCTAGCTGGTCCCTACGGCACTTCACCCCTCAATTTGCTAAGAGCTCCAATACTGCTTATAACAGAGAACTGACTAAAAGAGATGAAATTAGCAATACAGGATAAATGAAAGAACTGGAAGGTTAGTGACAAAGCCTAAATACAAAATAACTGAGAAAGAAGTCCACTGGGCTCTACGATGTGGCTTGAGGGGTTCAAGGACCCCTCAAGGACCAAAGTACAGGATAGGGTTATCTGGAAAGAATTCATGGACTCAAGCAATCTTTAAATCAAGTTGGCAAAGGTTTATTGTCATACTAGTCAGCAGGCAAAAGTTCTTAAGGCACCTGCTACCTTAGAGGAGTACAATTAAAGTTAATATAGGAAAAACTGTAGTAAAACATGTGCCAAGAATGCTAACTAGGTGATTCAAGGAGGGATTAGGGAGTGGTTAAGGAGTGGTCAGTTCTTAAAGGAATATGCACTTTTATATCTACTGCACAGGCATTTTACCCAGAGTTCACCAGGCAATGCCCACAAAGCACCCCTTAGGTCTGCTAGGTCACTAAGTTAACTAGCCATCAGGGCTGACTAAGAATTGTCCAGTCTGCCACTAATCTCAACATCTTGTTTGACAAGACAGATGTAGGGAGTCTTAAATCTAGGATATACATAATAAGGAGTCCAGAATACATATGATGAGGTAGAGAGTTAGTATAGATAGTTTGGTGGTTACCGAGTATCTTTATGAGCCAATACAAAGTCAGTTAAAAATAACAATTACTAGAGGTGTGGATTAAGTGTTTTGCTGGGGCTCACTCATGAGTGATTGCTAGTTAGGCATAGTGTCCTTGGGCTGGGGAGAAACTGCCAGATAGTGTTTT